CCCGCCACCTTAGGTGTATGTGGCTGGCGCCTTAGCCGCTTGAGCCACAGGCGCCAAGCCCCATTTTCTCTTATATCCCACATCCTATTCATCAGTACATTATTCCTTCAAAATATATCCAGAATATGACCACTTCTTTCTGTTTCTACCACCTGCACTTTGGAAGAAACCACTATTACCAGTCATATCTCTTTCTGCTTCCTTCACGTCGTCTCTGTTTCCACTCTCGTCTGCCTTCACCTGTTCTCAGTAGAGAGCCTCTTAATGCATGGATTTGATTATATCCCTCCTCTATTCAAAACCCTCCATTGAGTCCCAGCTCACTCTAGGTAAAAACCCAAATCCTTATCTTGCCCACTGAGGTCCTATAATGTGGCCCCTTCCTCCTCTCTAACCTCACCTCTTTCCATTCTCTCGCTCATTTGCTTTGCTCCAGGCTCCTTGAAACCACCAAATACATTTCTCCCTCAGGATCTTTGCACTTGCTGGTTCTTTTGTCTAACGTACTCTTTCTTAAAATAGGTACATGATTGTCACCTCTCTTCAAATATCCCCTCTTTAGAGAGAGCAAAGCTTCCCTGAGTACTCTACCTAAATAGCAGCCCTCTTTATCTTCCTATGTTGCCTCATTTTTCTTTCTTTCTTTCTTTCTTTTTTTTTTTTAGAGACAGAGTCTCACTTTGTCACCCTTGGTAAAGTGTGGTGGCATCACAGCTCACAGCAATCTCCAGCTCTTGGGCTTTAGGCAATTCTCTTGCCTCAGCCTCCCAAGTAGCTGGGACTACAGGCTCCCATCACAACACCCGGCTATTTTTTTGTTGCAGTTTGGCCGGGGCCAGATTTGAACCAGCCACCCTCAGTATATGGGGGCTGACGCCCTACCCACTGAGCCACAGGCACCGCCCACCTCATTTTTCTTTATAGCACTGATCAATACTTCCCAAATTTCTGTTTGTCTACTTGTTTATCATCTCTTCCTCCCTACTCCACAAGAACAGAGACTTGTTTTGTTAATTGTTGTATCCCCAGTGTCCTAGAGGAGTGCTTGGCATGTAGTAGGCCTGTGACAGACACACAACAAATACTTGTTGAATTGAATGAATGAATGAACAAATAGCTTACTCAGTGTTCCTTGCTTTTTTCCTACACTGTGCTCAAAACACCATAAGGGCTGGAGCCTCCACTTTATCATCTTTGTGTCCCCAAAAGAACATTTGTAAACATTGACAAAGTACTTAATGTACAGTGATTGTAGCAATTTGTAAGCATCATGTAAAAATCAGATAGCTGGGCACAGTGGGATAGAGGTGGAACATTAGAATCCCAACCAGGCTCTCACAAAATAGCTGTGTGGTCTCAGAGAAACCATCTATATGGGCTTCTGTTTTCTCCTCTGTGAAGGCATGGCTTAGACTAGATCTCTAGCCTTTTCAGTTTGTGGGGGGTGGTGGGTTAAGATAGAGTCTCACTCTGCCACCCAGGCTAGAGTGCCTTGGTGGCAGCCTAGCTCACAGCAACCTCAAACTCTTGGGCTCAAGTGATCCTCCTGCCTCAGCTCCCAAGTAGCTGGGACTTCAGGTGCTGTCCACCTTTCTCAGCTAATTTTTCTATTTTTAGCAGAGATGAAGGCTCACTTTTGCTCAGATTGGCCTGGAGCTCCTGAGCTCAAGGGACCCTCACACCTTGGCCTTCCAGAGTGCTAAGATTACAGGTATGAGCCACTGCATCTGGTCAAAATCCCTAAATTTTGTCAACTTTGACATTATGGTTGTAAATATAGCACAACCGAACATTCATTTGACAAATATTTACTGAACTAGAGCCAGGCACTCACTGAAAAAAACAAGACCCCAAACTCAAGAGCTCCCACGTTAAAGGGAAATGTACTAAGATAGGGTCAGTTCAGCTACAATCAGAGCTAAGTCTTAGGAAGAAGCACATCCTGGAGTCAAAGCAGGGGTGGACATTCCAGGTCAAAGAAATGGCTGTGCAAAGGCAGGAGTCATGGAGACAAGAGATATTTTTAACTACAACCTTAATTTTACATAAAGAATTGAGATAAATGGCTTTTGTAGGCTGAGAAGTATGCATACATCCAACAAAGCTAGTCTACTTCAGCCAAAACATGCACACAACCAGAAAAAGACCACGCAGGGCATACCTACAACCTAAGTACCACAAGTTTAGGAAATGACCCCTTAAGTCCTCTCACTGCGTGAGATCGACTTTATCTTTGACCTGTGGAGGCTCCACATCATTCTTATTGCCTCAGCACATGACAGACTGTAGGTGGGAACACAGCCCCGCTTAGTGGAATCTGGGAGGAAGGATGGGGTCTAACCACAGGTCAGGACCTTACTCTTGGCACCCTGAGCAGGGTCAGAGCAGTTGCCCTCGGGATGACCCAACCTCCCCTGCCATGCTCGCTGCAGGAGAGAGCTGAGTTTGCTCTCCGCTCATTGGCCAGCAAAAGAGCGCCTGTTACTAGAGGCGACAACGAGACCCCATTGGTCGTAACACCTCACAATGGCCCCCAGCGGGGCGCAGGACCTTCCGATTGGTTCGTTGTCAGTCTCAGGAGACGCTGTTGCCTCGAGCCCAGGCTACTAGGCTCCCAACGCAACTTCCGTTCCCCATTGGCTGCCCTGGCAAAAGCCGCCACCTACTGAGGAGCAAGGTGCAGATCCATCGTGCGCGCGCCCTCTGCAGCGGGAACTAGTCCTGCCGGGGGGCGACACAGGCCTGCGCTGCAGGCGCTCAAAGTAGTGCAAGGCCCAGGAGCCTGGCAACGCTCCTGGGACTTGAAGACCAAGGCCTGCGCAGGAGCCCGGGCCTCCCCTGGGAACTCTGCTTCTCCAACTTGGAGTCCAACAAGGGAGACTGGTAAGTTCGACTCAGCCACGTGGTGTGCGGATCCACTGTAGGCCCACGGAGAGGGGCGTCCCAACTCCTGAGTCCCTGTTTTGTTATCTATCCCCTTAATTGTTTATCCTCCAATTGTTGATCACTTTATTAATTTGGCTTTCTGAGTACACCGCTCCCCCCTCTCCCCCGCCCCGCAGCACCTGTCCAAATCCTTACTTCTCCCGACTGTGTTGGGAATCCTGTGCCGTAAAGAATTCTTGAGTGGTGGAGTCGAGGGTGAAAGCTCAGAAGGACCATGTTCTACTATCCCAACGTGCTTCAGCGCCACACTGGCTGCTTTGCCACCATCTGGTGAGGGCGGGTCAGGGGGGCCCACCGGGACGGGAATCCAGGGATCCCAGGGTGTCGGTCCCCCTCCATCCGCTCCCTCTCACCCTCCCCTACCCCTCCAGGCTGGCAGCGACCCGCGGCAGCCGGTTGGTGAAGCGCCAATACCTGCAGGTGAACGTGGTGAAGACCTGGTAAGGCCCAGAAAAAGGCAGAGGGAGGGCCTAGTGCCGGGGTGGGAGGTACGTAAAGAGATGGGGCGGGCAAGGCTGTGGGTGCAGCGGTGATCAGGGCGTGTTTTTCCCCCAACGAAGATATTCTCAATTATGTCCCTCAGCGAAGAAATTCTCAATTATGTGCTGGTTCGAGTGAAACCTCCGCTGCCTGGCCAGCCGCGGCCCCGCTTCTCCCTGTATCTCTCAGCTCAGCTCCAGATCGGTGTGATCCGGGTCTACTATCAACAATGCCAGTACCTCGTTGGTAAGGCTGGGAACACTCAGAGGTGGGGTAGAGCTGAGTGGCCCTCCACTAGGCTGGCTCTTTACCTTGCCTTCCCTACCCACAGAGGACATCCAGCACATCCTGGAGCGCCTACATCGGGCCCAGCTACAGATCCGCATTGATATGGTAGAATCAGAGCTGTGAGTGTCCACCTAGGACCGGGATCACCCAGCCCTTGGTGGGACACCCACCCACCTGGCCTCAGCCTATCTCAGTCTCAGTCCTTGACAGCCCACCATTCTCTTGCAGACCCAATCTGCTGCTTCCTAACCACCTAGCTATGATGGAGACCCTAGAAGATGCTCCAGACCCCTTTTTCGGGATGATGTCTGTGGATCCCAGACTTCCCAGTCCTTTAAATATCCCTCAGGTAGGACTCATTTCCTCTGGAACCCCAGACTTAGCAGAAGGGGAGTGCTGCCCCAGTCTTATACTGGGGCTAGTGAAAGAGTCCATCATAGCTCTCCCCCGCAGGAGATGTGCAAGGAAGGGGACTGTCATGATTAGGGAAAGCCCAAACTGTACTTACCTACTCGGGGCCAACTTGAGAGGTGGTCTCTCCACCGGAGGCAGCTTTTGTCTCCACTCATGTCCACAGTGTTCTCATGGTTGAGGCCCTAATCCAGGCCCCTATCATCTCTCTGCACTGGCCTTCCTTGCCTGTGTCCTCCATCCATTCCCAACTCTCCCACAGCTTAATGTTAGCCCCTTCAGTTTCCCAAACAATGTCTCCTATTGCAAACAGAATACTGACATTTGGGACTCTCTTTCCCCTGGTTCAGTGCTAAACATCCCAGATTTTTCTTAGCAGATCCACTGTGCCTCTGTGGCTCCCAAACCCATCTGGGCTTGGCACCTGTGGCTCAAGTGGCTAAAGCGCCAACCACATACACCTAAGATGGTGGGTTTGAATCCAGCCCGGGCCCACCAAAATAGCAATGACGGCTGCAACCAAAAAATATCCAGGCATTGTGGCAGGCGCCTGTGGTCCCAGCTACTTGGGAGGCTGAGGCAGGAGACTCACTTGAGCCCAGGAGTTGGAGGTTGCTGTGAGCTGTGATGCCACAGCACTCTACCCAGGGGGACAGCTTGAGGCTCTGTCTCAAAACAAACAAACAAAAACCCGTCTGACCCATGTGCTCAGAAGATACCACATTCACTTCTTTGCTTGTGTTACTTCTCTAGCCCGTAATGGTCACCTTTCATTCTTTTCTAGCCAAGTCTTACATATCTTTACAGACCTGGCTCTCCACTCTTTTCTATAAAGTCTTTATCCCTCTCCTAGCCAGAACAAAATGCAGTTCATGAACTCAGCACTTTACTGGGGCCAGGGCTTATCCTTTGCCTTGACTCTTGTTGGGGTCATATCCGAGCTTGTCTCCCCACTAGATGATATATCCCTTAAGATCAGGAATCATGTGTTTACCTCAGTTCCTCAAAACACTTGACATAAGGATCCAGTGCTTTTTGCACAAATTGATGAAAAGCTACACAATTGGAGTGGGGAACAGTAAGGGCAGGAACAGGAGGAAAGGAGACCAGATGACAAGTGGATTTTCTACATGGGAATATGTGCCACAAGAGTGAGATATAAAAGATCATCGACCATTGTTTGAATAAGGTTGTGAAGGTGGGAAAGCAGGGGCTGAAGCTGAATACTGTCTTTTGCTCCCAATCCCTCCCCAAAGATTCGAAACCTCTTAGAGGCTGTGACCCCTGAGAGAGTTCTTGAGGAGATCCCTCCTGAAGTCCCTGTGGAGCCCAGGGAGCCAGGTCAGTAGAGAGAACCTTCTTTGTGGTAAGAGGCATAGGAAGGCCCAAAAGCTGAAGAAATGGCCATCTTTGAGCTTAAGATGTAAGGGGCACTTTATGTGTATACCTCATCACTGCCTCATTAGAATTCTTTGTGGCCAGATTTCTTTTTGGGGGGATGGGGGGGAGCTTAAGCTATTCTCTTGCTTCAGCCTCCCAAGTAGCTGGGCCTGCAGGTGCCCACTACAATGCCTGGCTATTTTTAGAGATGAGGTCTTGCTCTGGCTCAGGCTGGTCTCAAAAACTGAGCTCAGGCAATCCACCTGCCTCGGCCTCCCAAGTGCTAGGATTTCAGGCATGAGCCACCGTGGCCAGCCAGTGGCCAGATTTCTTATTCTCATTTTACAGATGAGGAAATTGAGGGCCGCAGTTAAACAGTGTACCAAGGGTCAGGTTGCCAGTGTCTGGCTTGGGTCTGACTAGAACCTAGTTGACATGACTCCAGAGTCTATGTTTCTGCCTCACGACATGGGTTTGAGAACTTGGAAAGAAACAGAAGGGCTAGTCTGACTTCCCTTACCCTCCAGACAGGATTCCAGTCACTGTGCTGTCTCCTGAGGTCATCACCCTCCGGGAGGAAGAGCCCATACGCCTTCTACAGATTGAGGTGAGTCGTCTCCCTGCACATGGGTCCTGAGGCCCAGCCTTCTTGGATCTACTATTCTCTGCCTCCAGAGTCCTGCCTTCTTTGTCTCCATTCTCCCACTCCCTATCCCTAAGCACCTAAGTAGGCTTCCCCGGACCTGGCCCTGTGGTGTGCCTCTTGGATCCTCTCCTTGCTTTTTTAAGAAACGGAATTGAGTATCCTCCCCTTTTTCTTTCTTGACAGGGTGAACGGGATCTCCCAGAGGTCAGCCGCCGGGACTTGGACCTTCTGATTGCGGAGGAAGATGAAGCTATCTTGTTAGAGGAAGGCAGGCCTCCCCGGCCACGTAGGGCCCGCCCAGCACTGGATGGTCAGACTCCTGGCATAGACAGACAGACTGGAACTAAGCAGTGCTCCCATTTCTTCTCTTCTGCCCTCTGAGCTCTGATTCTCTCTTTGCAGAGTTCAAGGAGGAGCCTCGGGCTCCAGAGGTTGACATTGTAGTCCCCCCACTCTCACCTCCAGCTCCTATACGGTAAGGGCAAGAATTTCTGGACCACGTGTGTGGGGGAATCTGTGTTGAGAAGGAGGGGTGTCCTAATTTCTCTTGTCTCTTTCTCTTCAGAGTGGAAGGGATAGAAGAACTACCTCCAGCCCAGGTCCTAGGCCCTGAGGAGCTGAAGCCAACTTGGGAGCCCAAGCCCCTACTGACTGGTGAGTACCCACCATATCTGGGGGCTTTCCTAGGAGTACCTCTGCATTGCTGCAGACCAGGGCCCTGTATCCCAACTTGCTCAAGGGAGGAGCCCGCAGCTTCTTGCCCTAGTGGCTGTAAGGGTAAAGGGGCTTGTGAGAGAGCCAGGACCTTGGGTGTTGTTGCAGAGGTGACGCCACCACAGGAGCTGCGTCTGCCAGCCCCACCAAGCCCAGAGGTGAGTGGCATCACTTCCAAGTCTCCCTTTCATCCCCCTTTCAGAGCTACTTCCCCAAGCCCAGGGCCACAGCTATCTTACATGGGGCCTGTGTGCTAATCAGTAAGATACCCCTTTCCACACCCCACCTTGTCTGGCCTGTACTCTCAAGATGCGCACCCTCGTGCTAGGTATGAGTTGCACAAGCATGTGGAAGCCCTGCCAAGCCCTTTCCCCAGATGCCCATTAGCTGTCCACCAGGGTGACAGGAAAAGGAATAATGGGTAGCTTTATCCACATCTTCCCTCCCAACTCAGCGGAGGAAGAGGCCCCCAGCACCCCCACCTCCTGAGAGCCCACCTGCTCGTCGCCGTCGCCAATTACTATTCTGGGACAAAGAAACTCAGATCTCCAAGGAGAAATTCCAGGAACAACTGCAAACCAAAGCCCACTGCAGGGAGTGTGTGAGTGCAGCCCAGGTTCTGCTGGGAAAGTGGGGGAGGCAGGGACAACCTGGGGCAGGTGCAAGCTGGGCCTTCTAAACTCCTATGGGGGCATTTGGGAATTTAGCAAAAATATCCCTCCATTCCCCTGTAAGCATGTGTGATGTGGGTTTACACACACACACACAACTCTTCATGCCCCCTAGTGTATCCATGGTCACCAGATAAAAGTCTTTCCTTTAGCAATAAGCCAGGCAGGTAGTGTCAGGAGCCTGAAAGAGGGGGGAATCCAGAGGCCCTAATGCACTGTGAAAGGTGAAGGGGCACTGAGTAGTTCATTCATAATGGGGCCTTTGACCTTCCCCACCACACAGCCAATGGTGCAGCCTCCTGAGAGGACAATCATGAGCCCTGCAGAGTTGTTCCGAACTCCAACTCACAGTAAGAATGGTGGGATTGGGCATCTAAGATCCTCAGAACCCAGACCCCTCACTCTTGGAATTCCTCACACCTCAAACCCTGTCCCCAGCTTGTTGGCTACCTCGAGAACTAATAGCTTTGTGGACCCACTGTGCCCAGCCACCTCCCAAGGGGCTGAGGCCAAGGCTGCCCGAGGAGGCTGAAGAAGCTGCCGAGAGGGAGCTAGCAGCTGAAGAGGAGAAGAGAAAGACTGAAATTCCAAGTGAGATCGAGGTACATGCCTCACTGCCCTGGCACAGACCCAGTGCTCTGCTTTGCCAGCAGGCTGCCCTCTACCAGGGCACAAACTCATTGGTCTTGCACCTTGAGGCCCAGGCCCCAGATGCTTGTACTGCTTGGGATCTTAGTTCTCCTTCTCCTACCCCCCAGGTCCTGAGGGAGGCCCAGGAACCCAGTGGTCCCCTGATGGTGTCTTCAGGTAAGCACTTAATGAAGAGGGGACAGTGGGAACCCACACCCTAACCACCATCCCATGAAACTAGTATCACAATGGCTGAAGCTGTTGCTGAGTGGGATGTATAAGAGGGAAGAAAGATTTATTTTCTTCACTTCTCCCACCTGTGTGCTTTTAACAAATCACTACACTGCCCTGGCAACTACTCTGACCAACTTATAGCCAAGCAGACTCCGTCTACACCTTTCCTCCCTTCAACAGAGCTCTCCCTAGAAGCAGCTGAAGAGGAGAAGTCCCGCATCAGTCTAATCCCACCAGAAGAACGGTGGTAAGAAGCCAGGCTTTGTGGAAGCTGTGGGGGAAACAGCTGCTAAGAAAGGTATGCCCCTTATCACTTTCGTGGCTGCCACCTTTCCTTCATGAGCCCCATGTTCTCCTAGGGCCTGGGCTGAGGCGGAGCAGCTAGAGCCCCCTGCACTGCCCGCAGTGCCTGAACTCCCTGAGGTGCCCGTAGAGATACCTTTAGAGCTACCCCCACAGCTGGAGCTGCTCTCACTAGAGGCTGTGCACAGGTACTAGGGAGGGGGTGCTTCAGTGGGGTGGACCCAGGCTGGGACCTCAGCTAACAGTTCTTGGTCCCCCTACAGGGCAGTGGCCCTGGAGCTGCAGGCCAACAGGGAGCCTGACTTCAGCAACCTAGTGCCACCACTCAGCCCCCGCAGGATGGCTGCTCGTGTCTTCTACCTTCTCCTGGGTGAGTATGTGTGTGTATGCATGTGTAGGGTGGGACACACAGACCAGACTCCCCTTGACCTGTCCTCTTCCCCTCTAACCAGTGCTCTCAGCACAGCAGATCCTCCACGTGGAACAAGAGGAACCATACGGGCGCCTCCTGATCCAGCCAGGGCCCAGATTCTACTGAGATTAGAGGCCATTTACAAAGCTACAGGAAACTGGGTACATTAAACCATGTCCTGCCTGCTTTGTTTCTGAATGTTCACTTCCATCTTTCCTGCTCTCAGAACCACTGTTCAAGCAGAAAGCAAACTGCCTTTATTACAGTACGATGTCATGACTCCATTTGTAACAGATCCTACCCCAGGGATACCCCTGAAAGATAGCAAGCAGGGATGACTCAAAATGGGTATGAGGCCCAGAGTCTTTGGTAAGGCACAAGCTGGAATTGGGCTGAGAGGTGGTCTTAGAGCCTGGGCAGGCTCTGTTCTGTCCGGCCCAGCTGCAGCCTGCAGTCTAGGTGGGGCCCAGTACAGCTTGGAGCTCCTGAGCCTTGTCAACAGGCAGGGAGCCCAGTGCTGTGTGGAAGCTGTCAGTGTGCTGTTTGGCCAGGAATGTCAGGAGCAGCAGCAGTGCAGCCTTGGCGTCTGGGTGGAGAATGAGAGGGAGAGGTCCTAGGAGAGGACTGGGTTCCCCAACCTTTGCTGCCCCAAGCCCCCTGAGCTCTACCACCCCACTCCTGCCCACAAATGCCACCCTCACCTGCTGGTATCTTGTCCTCAGCCAGAATGAAGCTACAGATGCGCAAAAGCTCAGGAGCCACATCTACAACCTGTAGGGAAAGAGTGGCTGACTCAGAGCAGTAGTAGCCCTGAGTGCCAGGACTGGGGTGGGTGGTCAGGGTCCTAGGGTCCTAGAGGGTAAAGTCTCATTTTAGAGCCATCTGAACTTGATATTCATTTATAAGCATCTGAGATAACAGAATACAGGAGAAAGGCCAATGAAACATGGTGGTAATAATTTTTTTTTAGAAAGGACAGGGAGGCTCGGCGCCTATAGCTCAACCGGCTAAGGCGCCAGCCACGTACACCTAAGGTGGCGGGTTCAAATCCCCAGCCCGGACCCGCCAAACAA